CTTTTGAATTTTAGAGGTTGACAGTTTTTTTTTATTATTGAAATGAAATGTTTTTAATTCGAAAAAATTTTTCTTCGTTACATTAATTTTTTTTAAGCTAAATTAAGTGCTTTTTAATTCGACAGGAATTGTAAATAGTGTTTTTGAATGAATAGTTTTTTCTTTTTTTTTAAGCGAATTAATTGTAAATAGGATTTTAATAGTTAGCATTGTTGTTAATAAAATTTCTTCTTCTTCCATTATTATTATGAAAGCTTCTACTCGCGCTCAAGGTAGTAAATAAATAACTATAAAATGATCAAATATTGAAAGGCTTGCTCTTATAAACCTTCGGAACAAGGAAAATGAAACAAAGTGCAAATAGCCAACAAATAGTGAAGGCAAACAGACAAAAGTAGTCAAGATTCTTAATCCCGCAGTTCACATCGTCTTCGTTCCAAAACAAATAATATTAATTTAATGATAGCAGAGTCACCCGATGTCTTGTTCACGGTAATACTAATGATAAAAAGGTAAATAATTATGGTTGTTTACCATTTACATTTAGCTTTTAACCTACAGATCTTATTGCAGCCACCTTTTTTGTAAGTCACCTGCCATAATCTATCAGCACGCTTGGTCAGAGCTATCAGAAACTGAACTTTTTTGACGTTTGGGCAATGTTTTTCTTACAATCATACTTGATAATGCCGGGTGGTCGATTACGGGAAACAGAAAACAAAAAATGTCAAATTTCTTGTTTAAAAAGTGGTCGCGGTCGTTAAGAAAAATGAAATGACACCTGGGTTCAAACCTTTCACAAAGCTGTGTGTATAAGTTCAGTGTAATTATTACACATTGTAATAGCTTAGTTTTATTGCAAAGTGTGATGGACAGTTATGACAAATTGCGACAGCTTTTTATTACAAAAAGCGACACAATTTATTACAAATTGCGAGAGGATGATTATTAACAATTGCGATTAAGCTACGGGGTGGGTTATAGCTAGAACATAATTAATTTTCCAAAGGCCTTGTTCTAAAAGCAGGCTTTGAAATAAAACATACCAACTTACTAACTTGAAACCACAGTAGGCCAATTTCTCTCTTGTAAAAGGGTGTAGTCTCCAGTGGATAACCAAACACAAAGTGTATCCGTCATTTACCTGTTATGGCCACAGATTATTTTGGGCAAATGTTCTTGGACTGGAACCAGTGCTGATCAGAAAGCTAGGTAGGGGATTCTCTCTTAACTATCTGTTTTTAAAAATATATTCATCTGACCAACGTTAATCATTTATGAACTAACCTCCCTCCGATCCTTATCGACAAACAAAGTGAAAAACAGCTTTTAATTAGTATGGACCTGCCATACCCAGAGTCAAGGAATCAATTACCTTTTCAACAGTTCACGTCGCGGCAAGAATCAGTTGCGCAAAGTTGAGATCGTTATTCGCCAATTTTCCTTGAAAATCCATGAGGATGGGTTAGGGCTTATAATTTTTAACAATATTCGCTGGAGGCTCGGTTAATTGTTTTAGTATATTTACACGAAGTGATCTCAACAGAATCAGAAAGGAAACCATTAAAAAACGATTATTTTGATTGATGGGTGAATTCATGCGTGAACATTGAGCCGTAAACAGTAGATGTGCAAAAGTTAGATCTTTACAGTATCTTAAAACATGGCAAATCAGACAAATCGCTTAAGCATCCAAGGTTTAAAAGAAAACGTCGAAAGTTTAAATTACTGTTCCTTCTGAAAGGAAACGTAGAGCTTGATCTGTCTGCGTCCAGTCAATAGTTGAAAAAATCGAAGCAAAAATCGATAAACCAGGAAGATTGGAATTATCCGTGCCGTTCCACTTACTGTCGGCAGTATAATAATTAATAACTCTGTTTTTGATAGGATACGCCGCATACTGCAGCTGCAAAATTTTTATTGTTTTCTCAAGCTTCTCCAATAAATTGCTGCCAAAAGTTCAATTTCAGTCTTTTTTATTACCTGAGAGGGATGGAAGAAAAAGACTGAGAACTTTTAAAGAGTTACTCTGACTTACAGAGAAAGGCTTTATAGTTACAAACTATTACTTGAACGTTACACAGAGCTTTCGGGACCTATTCGGATCCCTTCAGCAGTGCTTATTGTCCTTGAAGAAAAGCTGAAGAAATCAGTGAACCAGAGGAAGTGTGCTAGCCGAAGACCGGAAACTGAGACGTTTTCAAGAAGGGACACTTAGAGTTTTAATTCAGAACAATTCACCACAAGGCCCGGACTCAGAACATTTAAAACTCTTATTATTTTGATATATATTATGGTGTGAAATTTCGCGCGTTAAAATTTCGAGCAATCTTTCAGTATACGCGCACATTAAATTTCTCAAAAATCGCGAAAATTAGCAAGAATAAGGTATCTCTAAAAGTAATTCTTCACAAAACGTCGGGGGAAAAAGGCAGTTTTTCAGAGAAAGATTATTGCATTGCTTCACTATAGTCAGCATTTATGTTGAATGCGTGGATAATTGAGAACTGTTATATATTTGCAGTCACTTCTTGTTTTCTGAGGGTCTCAATGGGGTTAACCGATAGGCGTAAAACGGCCAAAAATTTAAGCCGACTCGATAGCCGTAAAAATTGAAAAATTTCAACCGTTAGCCGTAAATAGGGTAAGAAAGAGTTAACCGTAAAAGAAATTGTTGCCTGGATTTGTTAGTTTTAAGGAAGGTGCTAAACTCGCTTAAGGTTGCGTTTTTATTTCCCGGCTACTTTGACTGCGTTCGTCCGTTAGGCCAAGCGCCTAGCTTTTAGGTGTCGACCTAGGTCACCTAGACCTAGGCTCCATTTCCGCTGCCGCTCTCTCGGGGAACTAATTTTTTCCATAGGGAAAATCTGGCTTCTTGCTGGGGATTGATATTTGAGATTTTCTAGAGGTCGTGCCCTCGAAATAACAGCAACACACAGAGATGTCACTCTTTGTAAAACACGTCGACGATAAACAACAATTCCATGTAACAATTCCCTGTTTTTCTCTGACGCTACGGCGTCTTCCCACGCAATCTCGGTCAAGGCATTTCGGTGGCGTATCTGAGAAAAAAACTCGCTCGGACCACGTGACCCGAAACGCATCATCCGCGCGGAATAATGAGGCCTACGGACAAGGCAACGGCAGACAGTCGTTCTGTACAGTCCTTCGCTATCATTAAAAACACTGGACACAGGAATTGTTTTACATTGGCCGTTTTCACACTAGAGCTAGAAACGGATTATCCATCTGAGACTAGCCTGTGTACAGTCACCCCCTCCCCCACAGACACTCCTTCTCCCTTCCTCCTTCTGAGGGGAGGGGCGGCTGTACATAGGCTGCCTGAAATGGATAATCCATCTTCAATTAAATTGTCCGTCAAAATTGACGGAGAAAGCCAGGTGGATTGTTCTGATTCAAAATTAAAACCATTCCATTTTCAAATTAAGACGTATTACCTATCTGACGCGAATTATCAAACGGATAACCCGTCTCACCCGAATAATCCGCCGCTAGTGTGCAAACGGCCATTTCTGTTATAAATGAATGTCGCGCACCGGCCTTGAGTTAAGCGTTTGCGTCAGTCTGCTTTTGCTTTTTCAGAAAGATTAATTTTAAATTGACTATTGACATTTGTATGGGTAAAATAATATTAGAAGTGGAATACTTCATCAAAAGTATGATCTATCAAATGTTAAAATTTTTCAAAAGAATGGCTTATTTCATCCCGAGATGATCCTAAGACCTTTATTTTGCTTTAAAGATACAAAAAAAATACCGGTTTATTAATATTTAACTCCTTGAAACAAAAGGAATTAATTTTTAACTTTGTTGTTAACCGTAACTGGAAAAAATTAACCGATAGCCGTAAAAGAGCCAAAATTTTAGCCGATAACCGTAAAAGCTACCACCCCATTGAGACCCTCTTTTCTCTCCTATTATTCGTTTCAAGATCAGTCATTTTGATATCTTACTGTTGACTGCAGTGAATTTTCACTTCGCCTTAGGCGAATAACACTAAGTTAATGGTTAATTTAAAATACGGTATTATGTGTCTTTTTGGGAAGCACTCTATCCTGAAATTCATGATTTCATCAATGTTGTTTCCTTTCCCAAATTCTTATATTGGCCGTTCAATTAACTCGCACTTCGTGTTCAGAGCTCTGAGAGGTAATTAATATTATTGTCACTTTAGAACGCATTGAGAAAGTAAAGACTTCAAAAAATGACAGGAGGACAGTCTGAATCAAATTGCGCGAGCATTTACATATTGAATGGCTTTATTTTTGCTCGAAACTGACTAGAAATTACAATATCGTTTCATTTGAGTTTCTAAAATTTGTAGTAGAGATGAATTATTTGTAAGTGTTAAAATTAAATGTAAATGGAAACGTCAATGTTACCTTGCTTTTCAGCATAGAAGCCACAGCTTGACAAGTCAGCAGGAAAAGGCTAATTATTAAAGTGCGTGCGTTGACTTGCTTTGCAGAGACATGGCGACGACAGATCTAGAACTGTACTGTTCAGCAGAATTAACCAGAAAAGTACGCAACGAGTTAGTCTTCCTTTCCGTGGCGAATACCATTTTTTCCATCACCGCATTTCTTGGGAACACTCTGATCATAGTTTCCCTCCACAGGGAGACTACACTTAATAAACCGTCCAAACTCTTGTTACGTGGCTTAGCGACAACTGATCTCTGTGTTGGTATCATTGCCGAGCCTGTGAATGTTGCCACTTGGATATCTTTGGCGAACGGAAGATTGGATATTTGCTTTTACACAGAATGGGCAAGTTTCGTCATCGGCTATATTTTGTGCTCAGTATCTTTAGTGACATTGACTGCAATAAGCGTGGACAGACTACTCGCCCTGTTGTTAGGGCTGAGATATCAACAAATTGTAACTGTTAAGAAAACATACGCCACTATAGTTTTTATTTGGGTTTTTTACATTGCCTGCACAGTGAGCTACTTTGGGAATCCTGTTATACCGACATGGATCATCATTGTAAGTTTATGTCTGTGTCTTGTTACAACCATTTTCTCTTACACAAAGATAATTTCAACTTTGCGACAAAGTCAAATTCTAGTTCACAGCCATAATGTCAGTGTTGCTGGACGACAACCGAGACCATTAATTCCATTGAACATAACTCGATACAGAAAGGCAGTGTACAGTGCACTGTGGGTGCAGGTAACATTGGTTGTTTTTTATTTGCCGTATGGTATAGTGGTAGCTTTGACAAACCAAAATGAGATTTCCGTATCATTTTACCTCGCCAGACAATTTACTGTTACTTTGGTTTACTTAAACTCATCATTCAACCCTTTTCTCTATTGCTGGAAGATGAGAGAAGTGAGGCAAGCTGTGAAAAGCACCATAGAACAGCATTTTTATTGTTCATAGACCTAACGAAAAACCTCTCTTTATAAAAATCACTGATTTATTAGATTTGTATATTTCGTTTGATTGCCGTTACTATTAATATCTTTAGATAACGAATTCTTTTTTTAGAAGCAAACCATTTTTTAATTTGAACTCAAATAAACGTCTTCGTCTTATTTTTAAATGGTTTTACAAGGTAATATGTTTAATCGTGTTCTTGTTTATGAATCTGAATACAATTATTAAAAATAATGCAAAAGGCTTCCTCATAGGCAAGTATTACTTTCTTAGGATGGCAATGCAGTGGCCAACTTTAACACATTAACTCAGACTGCTTAAACAATGTTAACGAGAATGAAAAAGAAATCACCGCACCTCGGGAACGGACAAGCTCCTTTTCCTCTTTGCGTTTTTGTTCTTGTTTTCGTTTTTTTTTGTTTATGTTTGAGTGGTTAAAGTCTTTAAATTCTGGCAAAATTACAACCCTTATCAATTACAATGAAAGCTAAAATTTCAAAACTTTTCTATGCAAATCGTGTTGTTAGAATACGACAAAAAAAAAAATAGTTGATTCTAAATTCAATTTTATAGGCCATTTGCACGATGAGTTCATTTTACTACTTCGACTAGAATCCTTCAGTGTTTTTCTTTCTGTGTCTTTTAAACCTCGCTGGGATTACCAACTTTGAATATGAGGGGGAGAACGAAAAGGTTTCTGGTCGTAATAGTAAAATGACGCCATCGTGCATATGGTCTATTGTTGAATGAAGTTGACGTTTTTTCTTGTCGGCCAGCTTGTTTTTGACTCCAATCATGATTTTTTCGCTAAGGAAACTCGATCGCTTTTAACTTTGTTTACTTACCTCCCTAAATTTCATGAAATAATACTTTTGACCCCTGTTTGACCATCCTTCTCGAGCTTCGCGAGGTTGTTCGATACATGTACGTATTTCTTGTATATCAATTATTAAAATGGGAAAAGGAAGTTACAGAGACAGAAGATGGTAGTCAAATTAGAATTTTCTGAAGTTGAACACAACACTAAAAACAGAAGAAGTGAGAAGATAATTATTACAACGAACGTCTTCAAATCGGTTTTATGACAAGACAGGTTGTCGGAACCTTCGTCTTTGTCATTAAGAATTCATTTGCAGCTGTTTAAACATACGATACAAAATCCATCATGCTGGAGGCAGTTGGACCTTGTAGAGGGAAAAGATTTCCTTTTTAATAACCAAATGCAGTTAAATCGTCACCCTACTGCGGTGTTTGATTTTACAGAATAGCTTTTTTGCCAACTGCACGAGGCCCATCAACAAAGAACGCTATGTTTACTCGCAGAGACGTGGCATCAAGACATCTAACTGACGGCGATCAGGAAATTGTAAAAACAACCATAGGAAGTTCTTGCTCAAATAAAGTCAACTAGAACCAAAATGAAGAGGTTATCTTTCTTTCGGCGGTGAATATTTTGAGGTCAGTAAATGCGTTTCTGGGAAACACTCTGCGAGATCTGATACTAGTCACTCTACACATTCAAGGAGCTTCACTTCATCAACCGTCCAAACTTCTGACCCTTAAGGTGTTTCGATGTAGTTTTTCAGAGGCCATACCGATATTTTTCAATCGCTTAGAAGTGATTTTATCCTTGTCTGATCGCCATAAAAATTTTCACCAATGATTGACTATAGATTGAAGTTTGTCGAAATGTAGGTTTTAGTAAAATCGATATTACTATGACTTACAATAAACAAAAACCTTTGAAATTAATAAACGCTTAATTTTGCGCGATCTAGACCAGCTACTGAAAATCCAACTCTAGGAACTTAAAGTTTGGAGTTTAGTAAATAACCTCGTAAGAAGTAAAAAATTCTGTATGTTTGAATTCGACTAAAACGAAAATATATTTCAAACCTTAAATTTTCAATAGCCGTGACAGATTATTTAATAAAAACGTTATAAATCACTCAAATTATTCTTAAGTAGCGTCAGAATGCTGCTGAATATCATTATTTCGATGCTAGGAAATTTTGGTGTATTTTCGTTCTTGCGATCTTAAAAACCAACCCGTTTTCTCACCACCTGTCTAAGTGCAACTTCATTCAAAATTTAGACTTTTAGCGCTTTTTTGTATATCTCTGAAACGACTCGAGCGAATTTTTTTAAAATCTCTTCACATAATCTTCATAATGTATGTAATAATGTCTGAAACTTTCATTAAGATTGATTCACTGCAACACCTTGAAACTTCAAGACAAACTTATCCTACTTACCGGTCAAAAATCCGCGCCAATCATTGGTCAAAATTTTATGGCGATCGGACAAGGAAAAAAACACCTTTAAGGGCTATTGGAAAATATAGGTATCTAATGACCTCTGAAAACCTGTATCGAAAAACCTTAAAGTGGTAATATAAAAATGCTGCACTTAAATATCATTAAATATGGGACATGACTTGATGTAAAATCATGGTCGCCATTTTGGATTTTACTGAAAGTTCAGATTTATCAAACAAACTAACTCTGAAATTATTTCTCATTCTTCAATTGTTAAATATGTTAAATTAAACGTACGTAATTGCAAAAGGCGCACTTTTAGAAGTTGCCTGGCCTCATGCAACGTTTAACTTCAAATTTCGTAATTATAGTAACCTCAACAGATGTTGTCACTGTGGGTCTAAAGAATAAAGAAACAATTTCTGAAGATCAGAGGATCTGGAGAAAATCCTCTTTTATGGGGGGGAAGGGGGGAAATCGGAAAACCAAAAGAGGGCAACTTCTCCCTTGTAGAAGGGCATGATCTCCAGTGGATGAGCAAACACAATTTGTATCCGTCATTTAGTTTACTTGATATGGCAACAGCCGTTTAATTGTACAAATGTTCTTGGACTAGCACAGGATTCGAGTCAAGGAATTACCTTTTTCGTAAGTTCACCTCCCAGCAAGAATCAGTTTGCGCAAATTTAAGATCGTTATTAGCCGACATTGATATTCCAATTAGTTTTGAAAACGAGCATACTGAATACTACCTGCTATGTACAGTTCTTTATTTTGTTTTACGTAAAATTATGTTAATGTACATGATGATGTGCTAGGGCTTATGATATTCGGTGTTATTCCCCGCTACCTCTGGCACAAAATTTGTCTTTAACTCGGTGTATTATCCTGGGTAGATTTCAGTTCTTTGTTAAACAAAACTCGTGAAGGTTACAGGTTTTTACAAGATGAAGACTGATGAGCCCAAAATTTCCCCACGAATTAAACATAGCATGTTGTCGAACAGTGTTTTTTGTCTTTAAAATTTTAAGACATTATTTTGTCAAAAATATGTAAAATTCGTTCCATGGTCGTATTGTAGTTAAGAAAAGCAAGTCGTGAACAAAAAAGACAACGGAAATCAGGAATTAAAAAAAATACGGCGATCACTTTTTCTTGAAAGAAAGAAGTAAAACTCTAGCAAGTACAGTGGCGGATCAAGAAGAGGGGCCTAAGGGGCCCGGCCCCCCGCCCCCTTTATTTTTAGACCAAACTGAGGCCCAAAGGGCCGAAAAAAATATTTTGGAGACTGCCCCCCCCCCCCCCCCCACAAATTGGTGCCCCCCCCGAAAAAAGGGGGGGGGGTTTTTTTAAAAAGGGAAAAATCCCACCCCCCCTTTAAAAAAAAAACAACAAAACCCTTTTGTTTTTTGAGGATTTTTTCGCCCTCTTGTTGTTTTTTTTAAAAGTGAGAAGGAGAAACACTTTCTCCCCCTACACACACAAACCCTANTCATTTTGAAAGCCTGTCTCTCACTGTCTGAGATCAAGAAAAATAGTAATGATTTATAGTTAAATAAGTCCCACCAGTGCCGTAGCCAGACCAAACGGCCAACCGAGGCAGGCGGGAGTTGCTAGGGGGGTTCGGGGGCATGCCCCCCCCCCCCCCCCGAAAATTTTAAATTTTTTTTTCCGGAAAAGGGGTTTTGCGGGTTTTTTGGGCGTTTTGGGTATTTTTTTTTTTGTTTATTTAATGTGGATTTTAAAAAAAAAAAAAAAAAAACACCAAAAAAAACGGGGGGGCAAAAAAGGGGGGGCCCGGGGGGCCCCCCCCCCCCCCCCCTTTTTTTTTTAACAAAAAAGGGGCCAAAGGGGGCAAAAAAAAATTTTTGGGGGCCCCCCCCCCCCCCCCCCCCCCGAAGATCTGGATCCGCCACTGAAGTAAGTGGGAGATGTTTCATTAAAGAGGAGCAATTCCCAACCGATCTGATTAACAATAGCGAATAATCCTTTTGTGCTTTGATGAATTTGTCCGTCCACTTGTCTGATTAATTAAGCACCAGAGAGGATATCTTCTCTTGTTAAGCATAATCCTGGGAAACTTTCGTGAAATTTAAACAACAAAATATAATTGCTCATGGCATTTCAAGCTCGTTAGTTGCCGTTGAACTAAACCCACTGGTAATAAGAGCTCATCAAGGCAAAATTACACGTAATCCCACTAAGCCACTTTGCTGTAGAGTCTGGCACGCAAAAGAATACGCTTTTTATAAAGTGAAAGAGACTCGATTGCTCGTCTTACCTAGATGTGTTCTTAATCGTTATTAATCGTTATAACGAAATGGCAGAGGAAAACTTTACTCGCGATAATAATCAGAGTACAATTCAAGAATTGTATTGCTCGGCAGAATTTACCGGAGAAGTACATCAAGAGTTAATCGCCCTTTCAGTGGTAAATATCTTTTTGTCCACAACTGCCGTTCTGGGGAACACTCTGATCCTAGTTGCCCTACACAGGGCATCTTCACTTCATCCGCCGTCCAAACTCCTTTGTCGCAACCTAGCAGCAACTGGCCTCTGTGTTGGTTGCATTGTAGAGCCGCTGCAAGTTTCTTATTGGATATCTGCTGTGGATGAAATATGGAATATTTGCCAGTTTACAGCTGTGGCAAATTATATCACAGGATATATTTTATGTTCAGTGTCCCTACTTACTCTGACTGCTATAAGCGTGGACAGACTTCTTGCGCTGTTGCTGCGACTTAGATACAGACGAGTTGTAACTCTGAGGAGAGCATACATAACTATAATTGTGTTTTGGGTAGCGTCCATTATCGGTACTTTAACTAACTTTTGGAATCCTCTCATAACGTCATGGCTGCTGTACATAGAGACAGCTTCGTGCCTTACCACCACAATTTTGTCTTACGCAAAAATTTTCTTCACTTTGCGTCATAATCGAACTCACGTACGAGGATCTTTTGCTCAGAGACGACCGAGTAAAACAATTTCACCTAACATAGCACGATACAGAAAGGCTGTGTCAAGTGCTTTGTGGATGGAAGTAATATTTGTTGTTTGTTATATGCCTTATGGTATAGCCGCAGCTCTGACACCTCAAAGAAGGATGCCTTTATCCTTTTACCTCGCAAGACAATTTACGGCTACTTTGGTCTTTCTATACTCATCCTTAAACCCGCTGCTTTTTTGCTGGAAGGTCAGAGAAGTAAGGCAAGCTGTTAAAGACATACTGAAGCAACTCTTCTGTTTATGTTGTTAGATCATTCTTTCTCAAACTCATTAATAATTAATTAATTAATGTTTAATGAGTGTTTGGATATCAGATGAAAAACTGCTCATTTTTGCATCCTTAATTTCTCCTTCAAAAATGATTTTGTTTGAGAAGAAATATCAAACATTCGACACAGTGTTTCATCACCAGATGAAACACCTCGAAGTTCGTCAAAAATACTCCGCTGCGCGTCGTATTTTCAACTCTCTTCTCGGTGTTTCATCTGGTGATGAAACACTGCATCTCATGTTTGATATATTACTTGAAGATACAGATCCCTTTCGTTCAAACATCGCCCATCGATCTGCATAATTTTTCACATCATATTCAACCTCATTCAAAAATGGTTAATTGTCAAATGAAGATGGCACTTCAATGTTCAGGGTAATTAAGCACCTTGATATCACGGTCGTAGACATTTAAAAAAGGAAGATAATTGAAAAAAAAATAGCCTTTGATGTGCCGCTTTAATGCTTGAGTTTGGTTGCTACACCTAGTTCCTGTTATGAATTTTACGGCTTATTAACATTTAAGCTTGAACAAGTTTGAAATTGTTGCCTTCACCGAAGTTGCACCCTCTTAATATGGAAGCCTTAGTATTCCGAACAGTTTTCTTTATCCCGGTAGCCCCCTTACATTTTCTGTGCATTAAAATCGCAAAATGTGGACAATGAACACTTCTGGAAGTTAACCCCGCTAATATAAATTTTGCCAAAAAAAGTAAATTAAAACCTTAAGTTCTTTGTGTATGCTGTGGCAAATGATTAATGTGATAGACCAGAAGGCGACTTTCAATCAATACGTCAAGGGCTGTGTGGATAAGATACTATAATCCCATGAATGCTCATTTCTTTAATGAAAATGGAAAAATAAATTCTAGTTTCAATATTTAATATTGAAACTAGAATTGCACATAACGTAAAGCTTATTTTTTGTCATTAATTTAATAACAAATAATAAGCTTACTGCTATGTGCAATTCAACGCTTTTTTTCTTTTTCTTTTTTTTTTTTTAGATAAAGACGAGTTCACAGTAGTGAATATCCATTGAGACAGCTGGGAAGAGCGCCCTAAAATTGGAAAACTTACTAAGGTTAAAGGTTAAAAGCGTGCGAAGAAGTTGCTCCACAAAGTCGCGAAATTCACCCACCATACAGACGTCTGTAAATTCGACGACTTTACGGAGCTATATATATCTATATATATCTTCGTTAGTTTATAACAAATCACGTTCAAACGTGGCAATTTTACTAATTTGAAGGCGATCTTTTCAGTCGTGTTGACGGATTTTTGCTAACTGGTCCCAGTCAAAAGTTGGAAAATTCGATAAACCAGGAAGACTGGCATTGCCAGAAATAAGGGACAAGATGGCGGTTGCGCGTGCGCACTAAGGCCAGAATGGCTGCGAAATCGTATAAGAAAATGTATGGAGATAAGGAAACTTTTTCAAATATATCGATTATGAGCTCACGGGTGTTCGGTGCACGACTCGAAACATGTAAAGTTCTGTGTAACCTTCGCATCTGGGTTAAAAATGGCTAATTAGAAGTAGGTTTACTTACTTCCCGAAGTGGCCACTTTTATCTCTCGTTGTACGCTCCATTTCTCCATACATTGTCTTAAAATCTTGCCGAAGTCATGCGAAATACTCGTCGATTAGAGGATAAACCCTTCACCGAAGTAAATTTGCACGACTTGATATCACTTCTGCGATGGAAGATGTTTCCAAAACAGTCGTTAAAAGGACGATTTTTGCACTGGAAAATACTTCCAAAGGCGCATTATTTCCCTCAGTTTTCCATCTGTAGTCCTGTAATGGACGCCATAGTTGCGAAAGACACATTTCGGTTGGACAAAGCTTCACAACTCCAAACCTCACCGAATCGCCATTTTATTTGTTGCTACAACTCCAGAGATGCTTCACGGGATATAAACTAGGTTCCAGGCATTCAAAAATCCTCGTTTAACCTACCAGGCTCGGTTTTAAAACAAAATTGTCACGAAAATGTCACGAAAGGCACATCCGCGTACTGTTTTGTTGCTATCAGCCGCTCGGCCGAGTATAAACCTAACATTTTCTTGCGAGGTGTTTTATTCCAGCTTTTTTCTTCGTAAAACAGATCCACAGAGCTCAAATTATTTAAAAAATCGCAGGGGATACGCTTTCCGTGACTACGATCGTTTTTGTCCGCCATTTGGAAATGAGATCCCGCTGACAATTAATCACGGGCGCGTAATGTCCACGATTTCTGGCAATGAATTATCCGTGCCGTTTTCTTCCTTTCGGCAGTAATTGACAAATCTGCTTTTGATTGGAGACGCAGCATTCTGCAGCTGTAAAATTTTGTTTTCTCAAGCCTCTTTAATAAATCAGTTGCTGCCAAAAAGTTCCTTATTTCAGTCTTGCTTGTTGCCTGAAAGGGATGGAAGAAAACGACTGAGAACTTTAAAAGAGGTGTTACAGAGAAATACTTCATCACCAACAATTTCTTGAAAGTTACACAGAGCTCTCGGAACCCATCCGCTGCAGAGATTTTATGATCATTAAATAGTACCAAGGATCTACAGGAGCGCGCGGATTCGTGGGAAATACAAAGAAGCCATTTAAACTACAATAAGTTTATGTGACAAACATCATGCATACTGCTGGGACAGGGACGACAATTATTATAATTATAATTATTTTACATTAATCTGTCTTCTCGTTGGCTAAGAGTCTCAGATTAGTTAGTTATCTGCTAGCAGATAGGTGACTAATGTGTGTGTAGGTTGCGCTCGCAGTGCATGATTTTCAATAACAATATCAACTAAAGTTCCTTGCGATGGTGTGTTTGTCGTTATTTTCTTCAAAACAATGTATAATAAAACAATTATTAGATTCGGTTTTTGTGATATCCTGAATAATCAAGGTCTCGGTAAGTGTTACCAGCCTCGGCCTTCGGGTTGGCTGATAACACTTACCTCGACCTTGATTATTCCGGATGTCACATATCATTCTAGCTCATTCTACTCTTCGAATCTTCTATTGCAAAAACGGCTCAACTAAATAACTTTATTTCTATGTTTCGTCATCGTAACTGTCACTGTTTGTTACACTTTTAATAATGTTTGTCACTGTACGACATAACCAAATTCACATTCATGGCCAAGAAACAACCAAGCCAAGAAATTCCGCTGAAAATGGCTAGATACCAAAAGGCAGTGTCCAGTGCATTGTTGGTGACAGCCACATTAACTGTTTGTTACTTTCCGTACGCTATAGTGGTAGCTTTGACGCCTTCAAGAGGGACGCGTGGAGCTCCGCTACTAATTCCTTTGGTTCAGGTGGTCACTTGGTGTTTATAAAGGGCTGAAGCGGGGTTGCTGATTTAATCGGCCGTGGCTAGTTGAAAAACCGACTATTTGGGGTGTAGTCTCTGACTAGAGAAACCCTGCAGGCTCGCTTTATTTGAATAATTCCTTCGGCTTGAGTGGTCGTTGGATGTTTTCAACGGGCAGGGGCAATTAAGGTTGTCGAATTGGCGCTGCCTCGGTGGTAAACTGGTTGTATGCGTCTAGTTTCAGTAAGTAGGAGAATGCCACAGAATCGTTTTACACTTGTATTTAAGGTTGCTGTGAATATTTTCAAAGGCTAGAATTCCATTGGCAGTAAATTAGACGTAGGCATCTAGTCTGTAATTAGAAGGAACGCCATAGGCCCGCTTTATTCGTTTTATACCTGGAACAATCAGTAATCGGTGGGTGAAAATTTATTGCAAGGGACCGTTGTTAGCGTTATAAACCAGTGGCTGACGGTGGAACGAGAATTAGCTCCTTTTCACACGATCCTAAGGTAACTGCAAGTTAAAGTTGTTGGATTACTGTGTATGACGTTATGGAAACTGAGAGAGAAAGAAACACTCTCTGTTCATTTCACGGACTGCGTTCGGAGCGTAAACACTTCAAGCAGTCGATAGGGGTTGTTATTTCCGTATCATACACGCCCACTATGAAAAAGCAAGAAGCATCGAGTCTGTATAACAACTACTACTGATCAGGTTGTTTATGCGCCTTTTTGCGGGATAAAAACCATAACAAGGTCTTGGACATATCGGTAGTTGCAAGGGAAATAGTGAGGACACTCAGAGAAAAAAAAAAGGCACCTTCTTCAAGCCCTTCAGCTCTTTGTTTGAGGTGTGACTATTGTAATACATGGGCCATTTTGTATAGACTGTATACCTTACTCCCCTGGAAAGTCTGAGCAATGCAAAACGTCCTCTAACCCTAACAAGTGAATATGTTATTTTAAAAGTGAAAAGTAACGGGTGTCAGGTGTTTTGCCAGGTCTGGGTGTTAACAATGAGAGGAGAGAGAATACGGAACAATAACGAACAGCAATCATGTTTATTTAGCTTCATATACATGTATCGTGTACTGCATTTTGTCCCTTTAGTCGGCATAGTTATGGCAGCTTTGAAAACAAGGTATCTTTAGTTTCCAATTTCGGTCAAGAATAGCTAAGCTAAGGCCGTTAAAAACATGATAAGCTCGTCGGTACCAGAACCTCGTTAAGGTCAAATGAGAGATAACAGCCTATGACCATTTCGCTTACATTTCGCTTTCGTTCTGGTAACACTTTTGTCTAGCCTTCACAGGGTTAGCTAACCTGTCTGAATTTATGTGAGTAAGTTGGGCGAGGGGTCATACCGTCCTGTATCTGTTGTATCAGTTGGTTAAGGCGTTCAACCCTGTTGCTGTGTGTTAAGGAACGAGTTTATATTAACATTGCTATTAGAAGCATTTATTAAAAACTCTCACAGGACAGAACGGTGAGGCAGTCAAGGAGATAAAATGTGTAGCGCGTGAGTGTACTGATCTAAACTTGTCTAAATATAGTTTAGTAAGCCTAGAAGGTTTTTGTTTTAAGAATTGAGGATTGGGAAGGTCTCAGAGTTATAGTCGGTCATAATAGTACTTTAGATTGCGCTATTGGACAAATAATGGAGCTGTAAAGGCTGTGAGGTGCTGATCAATCATTTTCCCATACCTTACTAATACAACTGAGCATGAATATGAATGTTGTTGAATAGATTACAGTCGTCTTGAAGTTTGTCCATCCGTGGCTCCTTTTGTATTTGCTGTGTTAATTATTCCTTGTTTTTAATTAACGTTTTGAGCGTTAAGTAATTAAGATGAAATTCATTAGGAAATTGAGTAATTTCAATTTTCAGTGGACAAAAACCTAATGTACCAGAATAATTTAAAAAATATTGCATTCTTTTTTTTTACTTTTTTCAAGAGCTATATATATAATTAGTTATCTGTAAAAACACCAAAGACTATTTCTCATGGGAGCCCGAGGAAATAGATGTCAATTTTCCGAGAATTATGAAAACACCTGAGGTGAAATTCTGAAAATTTCATGTTTAGGATGTAATTTTGTGAAATTTGACATTTATTTTCTTGGGCTCTCATAAGAAATTGTCTTTGGTGTTATTGAAGATGACTGATTACATCTATAGCCCTTGAAGAGTGTAAAAAGGAATGCGATTTTAATTAATTTCTCAGGTGATTTTAGAGATTCGTACGCTCTAAATGGTCCATGTCTACGTCATATGCTCTTACAATGCAACCACCTGGTGCGGGAATATTACAGAATGTGTTAGCGTTATAGAGTCAGTTTCGAAGAGCCCTAAAGGTGTTGAATTAGTCCAAGAGAACTGACCTATTAAGGTATGATGTGAAAGCTATTGATTATTTTCTTATTTTGGTATACATTATGGTATGAAATTTTGCGAGAGTAAATTTTGCGTAATCTTTTGTACGCGCACATTACATTTCTCAAAAAGGTGCGAACATTAGCAAGAATAAGGTATCTCTAAAAGTGGCTTCACAAAATGACGAGTGAAAAGAGGCTGTTCTTCAGAAAAATAGTCAGCATTTATATGTTGAATACGCGGATAATTGAGAACTGTTATTAAGACGGAAAAACCTCATTAGAACTGACTCAAAATATTTTCAAGATCAGTCACATTGGTAACTTACTGTTGACTGCAGGTCAGTGAATATTAACTTCGCCATAGGCGAATAACACTAAAGTTAATGGTTAATTTAAAGTACAGTATTATGCGTCTTTTTGGCAAGCACTCTATCCTAAAATTCATCATCTCATCAATGTTGTTTCCTTTCCCCAATTCCTGTATTGGCCGTTCAATTAACTTAACACCTCGTGCTCAGTTTTCAAGTTCAAAGTGCAAATCATTCCAAAATTGATAAAATTTAGATGAATTCTACGTGCTTTCAGCTGTAAAACTAGGTAAATCAGACAAAGCTGGCGGACTCCATGCTCGGGTAAAGAGTACGAAGTTTGTCTATTTGAGCAGCTTTTAGTCAGAAGGCCGTGTAGATAATTTTCTGGGTCGAGTGGAACGATGACGTATTTTGAGACTGTGTTCTTAACTCCGGCCCGCTTTGTTCAAGCTTTGACCTTAACCCTCTCTTCCTATTGCAATATTGGTAAAGCTGTTGACTTGCCCGAAGGCTAGTCCGCGTAAGGAATCACAACATCTTCGTATTCAGCCTCTCCGCTCGTTCACGAAGTTGGGTCATAATTTTCGACTTTTTTTCTTGGAAGTTTTGCTGGATAACCGGTACGACCCCAGGAATAAAATTCCATTCTGAGTCGTCAGAATCAACACATGACAGGCTTTTCCGAGTGAGACATCCTGAATTTAGTCGGGATGATGCATGGTGGTTCAACTAAGACTAAGCAACGACGACAGAACGAGAACGGCAAACAAAACAATTAACAGGCTTATTGTGCATCACGCTTTTTGTAGATTGATATCTTGTGCCGTATTTGCACGACCACAACGCGAAACTCCCTAATTTCTCATTTTGTGGAGGACATAAACACAAGCCAACGGTTCCCTGATTCTTTTTTTAACCTTGATACAGTTCTTTAGAAACTAACTCCAGAAAAATTCACCAACATTTGGCAAATTGAACGACTAATGGAAAATGAGCGGTAAATATTGAAACAGCATGGATTTACTTTTAAGAGAACCAGTCCCACTCGACGTCGAACTCTGACATGCGTGCTAGGCATATTAAGGAGAACAGTGCCTCAAAATACGTCACTCGCCGAAGGCCCAAAATGTCACGGCCTAAGATATTAATTGTACATAATTTTTTAATAATCTGTAAAACCATCTGCGGCATCGTTTATTACAAGACTAGTTTTCTATTTTCATTCTATTCCAAAACAAATTTGGGGTGATAAGCACTTTAAAACAGGCCAAATTACAAGCAGGGCATGAACAAAATTGCAATTATTCTTTACTCCATTGTCCCGGAATTCCCAGAGGAGACTTGAACACAAAGAAAACCAATCTAAAAATAGAGATATGACCAGAATCCCTCGGAATCAGGTTAGAATAATAATATGGCGAACATGGGCTATTCCTAACGAAATCTGATGAGTGGAGCGTCAAGGCGTAAACTTACTAGATTCAAAATTTTTGTGTTGTTTATATCATCCATGTTGTCGTGGCTACAATCGAACTCTAACGTTTAACCTAATAAACGTAATGTCTTTTAAATTTACTTTATAAGTGCCAAATTTAAAGCTTTATAGTTAAAACGAGTCTTTAAAAATAACAATCCAATGAATGGTTACCTCTCACAACCTACCAAACTTTGTTCAACCACCTTAAATTAAATGACAAGTGATTCGAGTGGCCCTGTGCCCTGGTTGATCACATGGTACAACGTCCGCCATGCTGGACTTGGGGGAAAAATTTAGCTTCAAGAACTGAAGAAATTAAGAGCATATTTTATAATGCACTCTCTTTTTTGTCCGATGTCTTTGTTTGCTTTTCATTATAGCGGCCACACCTTGACGAGCCAGCTGCAAAATACTGATTATTAAAGTCTACTAATAACTTCTCAAGAGTTCAGGCTTCACTGAGGAGTAATCATCGATCGTTTATTGCGACAGTGCTGCGTCCGTACTTTGACTTACCTTGCAGGAACATGGCGACAACAGGTACGTATACAGAACAGTATTGTTCAGCAGAATTAACCAGAAAACTACGCAACGAGTTAGTGTTCCTTTCCGTGGCGAACACCATTTTTTCCATCACCGCATTTTTGGGGAACACTCTGATCCTAATTGCGCTCCATAAGGAGACTTCACTTAATAAGCCGTCCAAACTCTTGTTACGTGGCTTAGCGACAACTGATCTCTGTGTTGGTATCATTGCCGAGCCTGTGAATGTTGCAAACTGGATATCTTTGGCGAACGGAAGATTGGATATTTGCTTTTACACAGAATGGGCAAGTTTCGTCATCGGCTATATTTTGTGCTCAGTATCTTTTGTGACATTGACTGCAATAAGCGTGGACAGACTACTCGCGCTGTTGTTAGGGATGAGATATCAACAAATTGTAACTGTTAAGAAAACATACGCCACTATAGTTTTTATTTGGGTTTTTTGCATTGCATGCACATTAAGCCACTTTGGGAATGCTGTTATACCGACATTGGTCATCATTGTAAGTTTATGTCTGTGTCTTGTTACAACCATTTTCTCTTACACAAAGATAATTTTAACTTTGCGACAAAGTCAAATTCTAGTTCACAGCCATAATGTCAGTGTTGCTGGACGACAATCGAGACCAATTCCACTGAACATAACTCGATACAGAAAGGCAGTGTACAGTGCACTGTGGGTGCAAGTAACATTGGTTGTTTGTTATTTGCCGTCTTGTATAGTAATAGCTTTAATACACCAAAATGGGCCGATATCTGTATCGCTTTACCTCGCCAGACAATTTACTGTTACTTTGGCTTACTTAAACTCATCATTAAACCCGTTGTTGTACTGCTGGAAGATCAGAGAAGTAAGGCAAGCGGTGAAAGAAACAATAAGGCAACTTTGCTGTTCACCGAACTAATTAACATAACCTTTCTAAATCTCGTAGGTTACTTCTGCTTTGTTTTCAGACAGTCTTCATTGAAAAATAAATCAGTTTAGTTTACCAGCCTTTCAGAGCAACAAAATATTACTCTTTTAAAATTCTATAC